AGCCTTTGTGCTGGTGGTTGGGTCAAGATTGAACATTTGAGCATTCTGATCCAGGTCCTGTAAGCCGTTTTTTGGCAAAGAAAAAATATTCATGACTTTCTTGAGAAAAACGCTTTACAGACCAGTAACCACATCAAGTTTTTATTAAAACTTTTTGAAATTAGAAAATGTCGAGACTGACAACAGCTCGTGCTTGAAGTTCCTGCATTCTACTTCCATTCCTACGTTAACGAAGCAACTTTTGCTATGGTTGGTAAGTGCAACCCAGGAAATAAAGAAATGCTTCTGAAATTGTACTCAACCCTTGATAATATGAGTCTGAGTATACATTTTATACATTTTTTACTGTTAAAATGTTACAATCTTTGGCTCCTTTCTGTTTTATTGGAACAACAGGTCTTGAGAAATTATCCTCCATAGTTCCATGTGAACAGTTGCACTGCTATATTATTTTATTTCTTGCTCTGGATGGCCTCAGCGCTAATAGTTGCAATAAGAAGTCGCTGCATGGCTTTATCCCTCTCCAAGCGATATTAGTTCATATTCATCTCAAGTTTAGGACAGCGCTCCATTGGGCAGCTCGTCGTGGCTACGAAGAAATCTGCCTTTTATTATTGGCTAGTGGATTTAGTAGGGAAGTAAAGGATCACAAGGGAAGAACGCCATTTGACGTAAGCATACAATCTAAACTGATGCTTTAAACAAAGTTATTTAGACTTTTTTAGCTTGTAGGTTTGTGCTGAGGATAACAAAGAATTGAGGGAAATTCTTCGACCAGAATCAGAAGAATACAAGGACATCGATGATATAATGCCGTCAGGTGATAGATATCTTCTTTGCAATAGTTTTTCGCAATTGTTCTATCTTAGTAAGTACGAAATCTATATATTTCAGCTGTTGACAAACGGCGCCATTCCGAGAATACAGTTGGGCACGATAAATTTGTACCAAATTACATTCGAAATCCTCCATTTCCATATGTGACGAAGGCTTCTTCATTTGATTGTGGAACAAATACTATTTGTAAGTGAATACATATATGCTAAAATTTAACTTTTTGTCCCTGTGGCATACTTTGAGAGGCGATGTCACCTTTAAGTGATGCGTGGTATTACATGGAGAATGTGCGCATATAGACTTTCATTGCTGCTTGAGCAACATCTCTCTTTCGCTTTTCGATCATGGGGTCAGATAGCAGACCGTAGAGACGACAAAATACTTTACTACTTGCAAAGATTAAAGTAATCAAACTGTTATGATTTGAAGGTACCCAATTTTCTTATCATCCATTTTATATCTCTACCACTTTAGAATGTAGTTTGTTCCGCTTTGCTCTCATTCCTTTCATAACGTAAGATTGTTGTTTTTTT